CTAAAAAAATTAAAAAAAAACAAGATGAAGTAGGATTCCAAACGGCCAACGAAAATACGAAATGAAAATCCTACTCGTGACGCAAATTCAACTCTACATTGTACTTTTAATGTTATTATGTAAGAATTACGGATCACCTTGCAATGTAGAGTAGAATTTGCGTCACGAGTAGGATTTTCATTTCGTATTTTCGTTGGTCATTTGGAATCCTACTTCATCTTGTTTTTTTTTAATTTTTTATGTTCTTGTTTGTGTTGATTTTTTTATAATATTTCGTATTTTCGTTGGTTGTTCGGAATCCTACTTCATCTTGTTTTTTTTAATTTTTTATGCTCTTGTTTGTGTTGATTTTTAAAATAATATTTATAGTATTTCTTTAGTTGCAATTGTAATACTTGTTGATTTTACACAAACAATAATTTTCTTTATTATTATTATCATTGTTATAACATTTATGAGAGACAGCATTGAATAGACATGCTAAAGGAATATCAACTATACTGATGACAAGTGAAACTAATACTAGTCTTGACACAAGTCCTTGTTCAAGAATCTGTGAACTAAGAGTGTCCATCTTCCCTGCTATTCCTGTTCTTCCAGACTGTTGTCAAGTTCATAATTGTCGTTGCGTATCATAAGTCATAACATTAATTAATTGTTTATTTTAATAAAATAAAATAACACACTTGATAAAACAGTAACATGTAAAATCAATACCTTCTTTTAGCTAGAAACCTCCACTAAAGTATTGCAGCAAGTTGATTCCAAGCACAGCTTGGTAAAAAAAAATAACTTGCTTCTTCCAGAGCTGCAGATCTGCATCTGAGCATGCGCGACCACGCCCCAAATTTTGGAGCACATGGCAAGCTTCTTTAATTAACAAAATGGCGGCATGCAGCCTAAGATGGCTCGATCCAGCAGTCACAGTATCACTTTTTCCTTACTTGAAGAATGATCTGATGGGACATGGACCTGCGCATAGACTATTGGAGTAGATTGGTGTAAGAATTATCCTTGTAGCACCAACCAATACTGAGATACACACCGACAACTGGATTGACAGGACTTCTGACTTGATGATGATGATGAAGATGAAAAAAGGTGGCTGAACAAAACGGCCGGTTCGCCGATTTTTGACTTTTTGCTTAGACAAGGTCTAGAGCCACGCTAGTTGTACCATTGGAGTCCTCTGGTCAAGATAAGGTCCTCTATAAAGTCTGGTAAGCATAGGAGCTCGTTTTCCCGGTATAGCAAGGCTGCAAAAGTCGCGGCAGCCATTTTGTTTGGGGGTGAATCCTACTTAGTAACGCTACCGCGTTACTAATAGCCTTGGGTATTTTTCAGAATTTTGGCATTTTCTTAAAATGGCTGTAACTTGAAAAATTGAAGTCGGAATCAGCTCAAAATTTCTACACAGCATAAGGACATCAATATATATCAGAAAAGGTAATAAAAATTGGGGGTGATTTTGGAGCCATTTTTCAGAAAAAAACCATGGGCTATAGCC